GGCAGTCTGAAGCCGATATTGTTGTTGGCCTTCAGTATCTCGTGCAAGCCAATTTGATCATTCCCGGAAAGACTGATGATGAGTTCAGGTAAGTGTTCTTTGTTGTAGCTCAACTCGACATGCAACTAACTCAAGTGCTTGTAGGTTCGCCAATGATCGGTTTTCGCAGGCTGCCCTATCGTTGACCGAGGGACGGAATGTGGAGAAGATGCATTTCATCATCTCTCAAGCGATGATGAAGTATTACCACGATGGGCGTAGTCGCTACGCGATGGCACGACATGTGGCTTTGGCATCCCGAATCATCAAGTCTCGTGTTGTGGAACGACTTGAATATAGGAAGATTTTATGGGATGCTGCCCAAACTGCTGCGCAATCGGGGGCGCGACCTACGGCGCTCTGGTACTTCCGCCATTGCATCACGTTCCTCCAAGATGATCCCTGGGACGACAACAACACGGATGTTTATTACCGTGAGACTTTACGTTTGCACATTGCGACTGCTGAAATGTCATGGTCTCAAGGCCATAATACTGAAGCCTTGGATCTCCTCGACAAGGTCTTCGAACAAGGGAAGAGCGCTGTGTGCAAATCAAGGGCTTGGATCGTGAAGGCCAAGATATATGCCCAGATGGGTAACCATCTCCGTTCTATGGACTCACTTCTGACGTGCCTTGAAGAGCTTGGTGTGCATCTTCGAGAGCCCACTACTTACGATGATTGTGATGCTGCGTACCGGAATCTTCGCGCGTACCTTGAGCAAGCGGACTTGGAAGCAATTGTCCGCAAGCCAGTTAGCAAGGATGTCGACATGATAACCATCGGAGAAGTCATGGCCGAGGCAATGGCGGTCACGTATTGGGATGATGCACTAACATTCTATCGGATGGCTATTGAGATGATGAATCTTCATCTCTTCCGCGGCGGCTTTGTGCAGATTTCCATAGGCTGTTCGCATCTGGCGATGATCTCCTTTAGCCGCTTCCGGGATCTGGAGCTCGCCGTGAAACTCAGTGATTATGCGCTTACTCTCCTCGAGCGTTGTCCTGAGCAGTGGACTCAAAGTCGGGGCTCGATTGTCCATAATCTTTATGTGGGCCATCTGCGGGTTCCGCTGTCATCGACGCTTCCTGCGCTTGAGGCTTCCGTGGAAACATCGTTTTCGATGGGCGATCCATACATCACCCTAATCAGTCTTTCCTCGATGGCGATGACAAGACTTTATCTGGGCCATGATATGGCTCAGGTGGAAGCGTTTTGCAACGAAAGCCCTGAAGATATCCCCGACTGGGTCAATGATACTCGTGGAGGTGCCAGTCTGCTTGCAGTCAGGTAAGACTCACATTTGGAACCTATGGAGGCGACAGGCGAAAGAGACAACGGGGGAAACAAGTAGTGGTTGCTAACGAGCATTACAGACAAGTTGCGCGTGCTCTGCAAGGGAAAACTGCCTGTCGCTCTGCTGACACCATCATGTCTGACGAGCACCATCATACGAATGAGTATATTGCCTTCCTTGACAACAATGCGAGCAACGCCGACCGTCCGCGTGACATCTACTGGGGCCTTGCCATGATCCCGTTGTTCGCTTATGGACACCATTCCAGAGCCATAGAGTTGGGAATGCAGATGATGGAGACTATGCCCAGACTGTGGTCTGCTCGCGTTTCATACATAGTCTACTTCTATCTTGCCCTTTCACTTCTCACTCTCCACAATGAATACCCTGCTCGCGGGTATCTCGATGGAAGCTTGCAGACGGTCCTGAAGTATAAAGCTGAAGTGGATTTCGCGCGAAGTGCTTGCGATGCCAATTACGGCATGTGGTCATTGATCTTGGAGGCGTTAATCTGCGAGGTCCGGAATGACCATACTTCAGCGATTCAAGCTTTTGAAGTAAGTTGTGGCGGCCCTGAGTACTGAGAGCGAAGCTAACTGGCCAGGCTGCAATCGATCACTGCCAAATCCATGGGTGGCCCTTGGAGGAAGCGCTTGCTCTTGAACTGCATGGTATGCACCCCACTCCTATTTGTTTTTCTTATCCCGCCCTGTTTTCCCGGATGCCCCCACATTGGCTGGTTTTAACTTTCGAGCAGGAGAATTCTTGATCCGACGTGGTGCGAAAAGAGCGGCGCGTTCTGTCATGCAAGACGCAATTGCTGCATGGGCCGCGATAAGCGCCGTGGGCAAGGCCGCGCAGCTCACCGAGAAACACGAGTGGCTATTGAAAACCGCGACATCCTCGAGAAACGTGGACGCTGGCTGTCAAACCGTGGACTCGCTTCTCGGCATTAATCGCAATACCGGGCAAGAGCACATGGACATGGGTGTGGCGCAAAACATGGACGAAGACGATCGGAAGCAGCGTTGGATCGAGCAGAACGGTGTTACCACGGGCGAACGGTCGTTGGACATTTCTGGCGTTGGCCTCGGTAAGCAGGGCCTACTCCCTTCCTCTTGATCACTTTTTAATGCGAGCAGATATCATCGACTTGTCGAGCATACTTGAATCCAGCCAAGTGATGTCGTCTGAGCTTCAGATCGACAAACTCCTGACCAAGATGATTGAAATTGTTCTGGAGTCTTGTAACGGATCGGATTCTGCAGTGATTGCCACCAACTTCGACAATCACTTCACGGTTGCTGCGGCCGGGGATCTGGAGAAGGGACAAAAGTCTTTCGTTGATGGTCTTCCGTTCTCCGAGATCGAGGACAAAATGGCGCACCAAATCTCGCACTACGTCATGCGTACTAGAGAAGAAGTCCTGGTTCACAACGTGCTCGAGGATGAGCGCTTTTCGAACGTCAACGAAGGCTACCAGGCCCGATATCCCCTTGGGCGGTCAGTGATCGCGTTGCCCATTATGCAGGCAGAACATCTCCTTGGAGTCATTCACATCGAAGGCAAGCCGAATTCGTTCACCCAACGAAATGTGGTGGTCCTTCACCTGCTCTGCAACCAGATTGGCATCTCACTTTCCAATGCGTTGCTCTTCCGGGAAGTTCGCAAGGTCAGCGCCACCAACGCTTCGATGGTGGAGGCTCAGAAGCGCGCACTCGCCCAGGCTCGCGACGCAGAGCAGAAGGCTAAAGTGGCCGAGGCGGAAGCGAAGCACAATGTGAAGCTGAAAGAAGATGCGGCCAAGGCCAAATCCATTTTCCTGGCCAATATATCCCACGATCTCCGCACACCGATGAACGGCGTCATTGGCCTGTCCGAACTCCTCAAGGGCACCAAGTTGGACCGGGAGCAGGACGAATATGTGGAATCGATCCGGGTTTGTGCCGACACGTTGCTCACTCTGATTAACGATATCCTAGACTTCTCCAAGCTGGAGGCAGGCAAGATGAAGATCTCGACCGTCCCGCTCAACATTCGGGAAACGATTTCGGAGGTGGTTCGGGCGCTGCGGTACACCCATCGGGATCGTGGACTGGAGACCATCGAGGACCTGGATAAAGTCCCGCCAGATCTGGTGGTCCTCGGAGACCCGGTTCGCCTGCACCAGATCTTCATGAACCTTCTCAGCAACAGTTATAAGTTCACCCCCAAGGGATCTGTGACGGTGACCGCCAAGGTTTCCCGGGAAGGAAAGGGCCGTGTTCGTCTGGAATGCTCCGTATCTGACACGGGCATTGGAATCTCGGAGGAACAAAAGTCACGGCTCTTCCGACCATTCTCGCAGGCCGACAACTCGACGGCGCGGTCATATGGCGGCAGTGGACTTGGGCTGAGCATTTGCAAAGCCATCATCGAAGATGTCCTCGGCGGGGCTATCTGGCTCGACTCGACCTCAGGCGTTGGCACCACCGTGACATTCCACCTGGCGTTCAATAAGGTCAAGGACGCAGCCGCCAAAGCGGCCAAGGCGGCCAAACTTGCCAGTCGGGCGGAAAACAAGGCGCCCGCCCCTATCCCGCGCGACTTGACCATGATTCCTCGGGATCAGATTCGCATCTGTATTGCGGAAGACAATCCGATCAACCAGAAGATCGCGGTCAAGTTTGTCAAGGGTCTCAATCTTCACTGTGAAGCGTACAGTGATGGGCAACAGGCCGTTGAAGCCCTCCGAGCGCGTTCCCACGAAGGCAACCCGTTCCACGTGGTGCTGATGGATGTGCAAATGCCGACCCTCGACGGGTACAACGCCACGCGAGAGATCCGCAAAGACCCCGATCCCAATGTCAACGAAGTGTTGGTCATCGCCATGACGGCGAGCGCCATCGAGGGGGATCGCGAGAAGTGCCTGGATGCCGGCATGAACAATTACCTGCCCAAACCGGTTCGATCGACGATCCTGAGCGAGATGCTCGACCAATACCTGGCGCCGGTCCCGGCGTATACGCGAACGCGGCTGGTGAACCGGGACCGAGGCAGTGTGAGCACAGAGGCGGGGACCCCGCGAAGCCACTCGCTGTCGCCTAATATCGACGGGCAGGGGACGGCGCTGACGCCCGACGAAGAGAAGCAACTGCAACGGCAGCCCATGGAAAACTAGACTTCTTTGCCATTGATAGAGGGGCACCCGGGCCCTTGGCCCTGGCCCGACCGCGATAACCTGCATGTTCTGAGCGTATACCCCTGAAAAAGCACCCGACGGGGGGGGAATTGATCCCGTCCGTTTTTGTTCCAGCGATGATGATGAAGCATATGATTGATGATACCAGCAGTGGAGGCTGCCGTTGCCGGGTGCGAGACGGCCCCGAGATTTGTCCATCTCCATTTTGGTACCCATCGCCCCGTGTACTTCGTGGTGTGCCTTCATCTCCGATGCCCTGTTTCTTCACCTCTTGCGTTGCCACCCAACGCCGTACAGTGTGTATTTAAGACCTGCGTGCCGTCCTTCTGAGATATCTCCTCGGCGTTGTTGCTTTCCTGTGTCTGCTTCCGCGAACTTGCTGTCTGTGTGATACCGTGTTTCCCATCTCCTGTAGCCTCCAAGGAGATGAATACCCGGCCGGCGTTTGGATGCTTCGATGCTTGTATCTTGTGCAAAGAATTCCGTCATATGAAGAGTTCTGTCATTGATCCATAGAGTAATTCATGTACAAACATCACAGTCAGTCTCCCCCACCTACGCAACGCTCCGTCGTCCAAAGATGCGGAACCGCTTGACCCCTCCATCCGGCACCAGGGTCAACTTGACATGCGTGAACGTCCTGGCCCCCGCCACCACCTCTTCGCCCTCAAACACATGCTCGGTATCCGCCTGACACGGCTGATCCCCCTTGACCACCTCCACCCACCCGGGATGATCATGTCCAGGCACTTCCCCCTCTCCCACACTGCCCTTCACCAACCCATGCACCCGAACCGCCCGGGGAAAGTTCCCTCTAAAATCCTTCGTATCCACCACCACCCGACTGACCTCCCCCTCCAACCCGAGCTTCACAATCGCCCAATCCACATGTCCCTTCGTCCTCGACCGCGCCGTCTCCCACCCATCCCCCATATCCTTCCCCCTCCCGGGCAACAACAGATTCGAACACGGCGTATAATGCTGATCCGACGCCCCCAGCGCGACCGCCCCCACCAACGCCGAACTCAACTCCTCCTCCCCCTCCACACCCCCTTCCACCCCCACCACCGGCTTCGGCGGCGGAATGGCATTCCCATACACCCTCAACCGCCCAAACCCACCATCGGGAAACATCAACAACCGGACATGCGTCCACGGACCCTTCACCTTCTCCTCCCCCTCGACCTTCCACGCCCGTCGCTGCGCCGGCCCACACTCCACCGGCGACAACACCGTCACCCACCCATCATACCCCTCCCCCGCAACGACCTCATCCGAGACCGTCCCCGGTTCCACATACGTCGCTTGCAACGAGGCCTTCTCGCCGTAGTTGCCCGTGAAGAACCCCGTGTCGATTTCCACGCCCTGGATGGAGGCGCTGCTCACGCCGAGCTTGATCACGACCCAGTCGTAGGGGGCGGGGTTGTGGCGGCGGGTTTCCCACCCGTCGTACCATGCGCCGGTGTGGATGAAGACGCCGGGGCGGTTGATGGGTGGGGTCGGGGTGAGGAGGTTCGATGCTGCGGCGAAGTATTCGTTGCTGCAGGAGAGGATGGTGCTGTTGAGGGCGCTGGAGGTGAGGTTGGTGGTGTGCGCGAAGGTGGTGTCGATGGCGGAGGCGGGGATGTAGGATTCTGAGGACATGGTGGTGGTGGTGGTGGTGGTGTCAATTGGATAGGTAATTTAGTATGGTAGGTTTCTTCTCCTAGGAGTAATATGATAAGTGAGAGAGAGAGAGAGAGGTGGCTGAATGAAACCAGGAAATGACGCGATTTAAGTAATTGGGGAGCAGTGGAAGCGAAAGCCAAACCCAACCCCAAGCTGGGCTGGACTGATAAGGCTCGCCCCGCCGATTACTCGATCTTATCGCTTCATCCCGCCGGTTTGCCCCATCATCTTCTTCCATCACCCACCATCCACGCTCTTCACTCTTGACTCAATTCTATTTTCTCCTCCAGGTCTCTATCTGTTCATCATTATCTAGTTCCTCCTCCCCGAACAACAAACACAATAACTATATCCTCATCCTCTACCCCTCCCCCTC